TAATAAATAATGGTGCTTACATGTGTTCAAGAGGTCTTTGGTTTATGTTTCAATAGCAGTTTCTTGTGTGCATGTCTCTGCTTTGGAAACGTTCCTAAACAGTTTACTCTTTTAAAAGCATTTTTAACAATCCACACACATACAAAAAATAGCATTGTTAAGCATCTTAGTAGCTTTTTAAATGTTTGCCAAAATAATACAACACTTGAAACGTTTAGCCAGTATTGCTGAAGTCTAGTATAAATAATTATTTGCCTTCTGCTTTTGTCTACCGCTAATATTTTCAGCACCAACTTCATCTCATATTAGGGAACACTTTATATATTGCTTTCAGCTGTCATATTCATAATAGAAACCCAATGCATACATGATGTCACCAGGAATCTAGGCTGACTCAAAGTAAACTTTACCATTTAAGATAATGCAGTTTTTCCTTCATATATGACACATATATGGGCATACTCATTTTGCTTATTGAGTTGTGGATGATTGGAGTAAAAGCTCTATGCTTTAGTTACATTTTGCCAGCATGCCAACTTCCTCTAGTAGCTGCACAGTTTTCTAGATCAAACATAATCTTTGGAAATTTCTGGAATTCTGAGTTGAGTATTAGTATATGAAGTTTGTATCTTTTAAACAAATTCCTAGTAACCATGAGCTTAAGATGAATGATTCTCTTGGAAAGTTGATGATCTTTAAAACTATTTCTATAAATTATGGAATCACAGATTTTGAAGGGGGAAAAAAGCTAGCATATATCCAGTAACCATCTCATCATTATCTCTACATTAAATGTGGTAATGATCTATTCATAATTTCAAACCATAATTTGGTATTACAGAACTGAACTCTAGATTTCTGCCCCTTCTTTACTCATACACAGAATAATAATTCATTCTTTAATAACCCAGTGGGTTTCTCTGATGTGTAAGGTAGCCAACTGAGTGTTTCTTACTTGCCGTAAGTACTAAATTATAAATCTTGGCTTTGATCCTGATATAGAGTTAATTGGGAGAGCAACTGAAAACCAAACCTGCAGGTTCAAATATAAAATACTATACTCAGTTGTGCCATCAGCTAAATGCTACACGAGGGAAGATGCAGGAATGAGCATGTTACCGCTATCCTCTGCTAGTTGTTCTTGCACAGAAAGGATGATTATCTACAGAAGAACCCTGGAATTCTAAACACTTGGTGAGAATCCTGCACAGATTGGGAAGTTTTGCTCTGCAGATCATTATGTACCACATATAGAAAGCTTATGAGGATGGCAAGGGAGGGAGGCAGCTTGGCAGAGCTATCTCATTCATCCCTATGCCTCTTCCTATGTAGAATTTTCATGCAAGGCGAATTGAATGGCTAAAGAAGTAACTCTTTTAGGCAGGGTAGGAGACAACAAGAATGCCAGGCATATTTCCATAGCACCAATAATGGTTTGGTATTTACACATATGATGCTCTATAAGGTTATCTTAGGTGGGCTTCCATGGATTTTTTATTAAATGAAAACTGGCATCACATCAGTTTTAAATCTAAAAATAATCAGGTATTATATACATATATGATTTATTACTGGCTGCTGCTAGTTATTAAAATAAGCTAGTATAATTATAGTTAGGTCCATGAAAGCTTTGTTTTGATTGTGCAGTTCATCCCTCATCTGTGCATTTCAGAAGGAGACTGTTCCCATTCCAGTGGCAGTTCATGAAAACTATTGTCGTAATTGATTCTTACTATACTTTAGTGACAGCAGCACTGATCCTAATGTATTTGTTAGTTGGATTTCTGATCATCTCATTCGGAAACATTTTAAATGGAATTGAAGTAATTATGTTAATCTCAAGGGTTTTTTTGTTTTTGTTTCTGTTTTGTAGTGATGTGAATATGATTCCAGAACTACAGCTGAAAGAAATGCTGTCTTTCTATTAAATGAATACCAAATTGCACTTTCAATCTTGAGCAGGCTAAGTTTAAAAATGCATTCAGTATGTTCATAATTCAGTATAAAATGACTGCCTTACTCATTGTATAAGGTCAGACCAGTGGCTTAGTTTCTGCAGAAGACTGAGGATTCTTTCATAAGCATAGCACTTTTCAGTATGCAGAGATGAACCTGTTCATAATAGTTTCTGATGAAATCTAGGTGAATTATTTGGAATACTTTCCTCCTTCCTGAAAGTTAGTATGTGCTATTCACTGAAAAAATTATGTTAATGCTTTCTGAAAGGATGTGTATAATATATTCATACTATATGTCTGAAGTATAGATTTACTTTGTTTCTCTCACATAGCCAAAGCAGTGTTGCAAATACAAATAATGGAATTAAATATTTACAACCGATACTAGCTGCTATGAGGGGTCAATCTCGATATTTTAATATACGCAATTTTGTTATTCTCTTATTTTAAGTAGAAATACATTTGTTCACCATGATCTCCAAAAGTCAAAAATGCCCATTTTTAAAATCTGGCTACAATTACAGAGTTACTTTCAGATGGCTATGTATGTTACAAAGGAGAATCAGTATAATCCTTGGATTTATTTAGTAGCATAGAAAGAGCTGGGCTCTGTTCAGTAAAAGAAAACATGGCGATATATCAGTACAGTATTTTAAGTAAATATTGATCTATTAAATGTAAGTCACCTTTTAGCAGGGTATTATTAATGGGATAATCCCATTAGTATCAACCGTGGAATACTTAGTTCAATCAGTTTGTGAATGCAAGAAATCCTGCATGAGAATATCTTTCAAATGGGCTTATGGTCTTAGTTCAAAGATAGCCAGAAGACCGCCCCACCCCCTGCTTTTTTTATTATTTGTTTTTAAGATTTATATCATTTTTAGGTTTAATTAGAGATTTTGCACTTCTAAGTTACAATTTGCTTTGCATCATGCAGTAAAGTGAATTATCATTATCATTAAACCATTATAAAATTGCTATTTCATCTTCTTCCTACTGTTCAACTAACATTCATCTTCCCTAACTTAAGCCCATTAGATTAATCTTGTCTTCTAGAGCAGCAGAGAAGCACCATTTGCTTGTTTTCTGTGTCAGCCCTTCTGGTATTTGAAAAGTGCCCATCTCAATATTTTCCAAGCTAAATATCCTGCTTTCCTTTAACTTTTCTTCCTAAGCACGTTATTCTTAATCACTGTTGCCCTCTTAATTTTTTCCAATTTGTCTCATCTTTCTTAAAATATGGCATGCAGAACTGCATACGGTACCAGACAAATCTGATTAGTGCAGAATAAGGAAGGAGTATTTATTCCTGTGGCTAAACATCATGGTTCTATTAATGTTAATGGCACTAATTTGCAGCTGTATCACATTGCTGACTCTTCACTTTGTTATAATCCAGAACCCAAGAGACAGATCTCATGTACCATGTGTCAAACCAGGTGTTGTCCATCATATATCAGTGTTCTGAATGTGAGCACACCTGAAGGCAGACATTTGCATTGTGTTGTGCTGGAAATCATACTGTTTTACTCAGCTTTCCATTATATCAATGGCATTTTGAATGTGTTACTGTTATATGAAGTAACATTCTGGATCATCTGCAAATAAGAATTTCCTATACCTAAGTGATGGATCAATGGTTGAAGTATACCACGTCCTAGTAGGGAGGCTTGTGGCACCTCACTCAAAACTTTCCTTGATTTAATGAAGATTATTGATAAGAGCGCAATGATTTTACAACTGTGAATTCATCCATGAATGTCACGGCCAGCAAATTATGTCTATATAATTAGACATTTTGCTACAAAGTATGGAGAACTTTGTCAAATGCTTTGCTGGAACTAAGATACATTATTTCTTGCACCTTTTTCAATATATATTCAGACAGTAACCCAATCAAAAAGAAACACAATTATGGCAGGATTTATTTTTGTCATTCCATGTTCCCGTCTACTTACAGTGTTTTCAGACTTATTTCTAATCTGTTTTCCTTTCTTTTCTAATATCAAAGTCAGATCAATCAATTTGTAGCTTCTTGGATTTTCTTTTATTCCTGTTTAAAGTCTGAGACATCTGCCTGTCTATATTTTGTGGAATTCCCCCATTCTTCAAAATTTCCTGTAGAAAAGGTGCTCACAAGTAGAGTATAAAGAAATTTATGTTGCTTCCTATTCAGATGCTGAGATTGTTATTGAAGAAGTCTGAACAGATCCGGGTGATTCAAACATTGCAGGTCTCTTGTAAAAGCTACCAGAAATAGCTACTACATTGTGACGTACTCCGTGCAGAAACAGAGGAATTTGTAAAGAATTTGACACGTTTGGAATTGATCCCACAAAGTAGCGTTATATGTAATCACTGATTTGGTTGCCTGAGGAAAGTAGAAGTCTATGTGCACATGCAAAAAATGTACAAAATTCTTTCATATCTGTCCTAGGCCACAAATACCTAACTCAGGTCTAGACGGGTAGTCAGATCAGCATATTTTTTAGTGAAAAATCATTTATTAAGAAGGCTGGCATGAAACATTTTTGTGCCAGCATTAGATGTCAGCACACAATGGAACAGATGTGAGAGAACAGAAGTTTTCAAGAGGTTTTCAAGAAAGCCCCTGCAGATAAATCAGTAAGCTGTATCCCAGAAGCTAAGAGAGCTTTAACCAAAGAAAAAGACTCCTCCTCAGAACACTGAAGGAATGTCACAGAATTCCACTGTAGACATGTTCAGAAGCAAAAGCCTATCTAAAGATTCAAACATATCCAGTGCGTAATGACTGCTTTATTGTTTATATAATGCCAGTTGAGACTTTGACCAGCATGATAAATTCTTGCATATGATGGAAGGCAAGAACTAGCTCTCTAAATTCCACCTATTGGTCACTATGCAAGTGTTTTACTCAATTTATGCTTTTTTCACCAGCCTTTTTGGAATTGGATGAATCACGGAATGCATTTGACTGATGCATAAATATGTACATTGGCATGAGTCTCATCTATCTTTATATGTGGCATCAGATATCTGTAATTCTCAAGCCAAGCCCTCAATGTGCTGGATATTACTTGCAATTATCAGAATCTGAACTGATGAGTCTTTCTGATATAATTTTTATTATAAAAATGCCCCAGTTATTAAAATGAAGATTTGCACATTTACTGCACTTCTGCACAGTAAGCAATAAGCTATGGATTTGTTTTACTGTTACTTATAATGAATTTAAAAACACTATTTGAGTATTATTTATTTATAATTTGCAGCCATTGCTTGCCCTCCCATTAAGCATTATGGCAGACATGATTAATGTCTGATTGTTCCCCATTACTCAACTTTCACTGTAGCTCTCAAATCTGTAGCCCTAATGCATCTCAAAGTCATGAATTTGAGAAAGAATGTCATAGGTGGAAGGCAGTGACCATGACCTACAGAGAGAGAACCATAAAGTAATGGACCCATTTTAGGAACATCATGTTGATAATTTCAGTGCAACAATTCATAAGACTGTAAGACACACTAGAAATAAGAGCCCTACTATCACATGATTATCTTTTCTAAAATATTTCTCTCCTCTGATAATAAAGAGAAAATAAGTAGGTGAAAGTAACTGTTGCAGTTAACAGATTTACTTTCTGTTAATGATGCAGGACTCCTTAAAGACTGTTCTCTCAACCATCAGTCAACAGAACTAGAAAATATGCTACATGCTTTATATCATATGGGTCACACTGGAAGTCTTGGATTTCATCTGAGCAGCTTAGGAATTAACCATGAAGAACAAAAATGATTCTGACTCCAAATTGAAGGAGACATAACATACGTTCACAGCTCAAATCTTTCTGTATTAAAAAAAAGTATCATATGCATGGATTGTCCATTTTAATACGGTTTTCTATTAGTCTTTTATGTCCTGATGTTGGAATATTTTACACTGAGGCTGAAGACTGTGGAGGAAAAATAGTCCTTTCCTATGTAATAGCATAATGTAATTGGCAACATCTAATTTTCACAGTTCTCTGTGAGTTACTGTCAGATACACCCTGCTTCTGAGATACAAACCCTGTACTCTTCCAGTGGAGACTGTTTTGGATTGCAGCACCATGACTTTTCTTGCTTTTTCTTTTTCATTTAGAAAGACAAGTTTAAATAACAATAAGGACTTGGTTCTGATGAAGCCAAGATCAAACCACTTACTGGCTTTTCACTATAGGGTTCCATATAGGTTGTAGCAACATAATTGTGTGTGCAGTAAAAAGACCACTCACTGAGTCTTTTTGATGAATCCAGTTAATCACATTAAAGAGTCCCCAGATGCACACAAAAATAAAGAATAAAATATTCTCAATCCCAAATAGGCATCTTTGGAATCCATAGTGCAAAGTAGTTTTGCTGATTTAGTTTGTCCTAGTATATTTATAGATTCTTGTCTTCAAGTCTTTCCTAAGATAGTTGATCTACAAAACAAAAACATGAAAGTAGTAAAAAGAGGGAAAACAAATACGGTATAAAATTATTTAGAATTAGTTTGGCCACACTTATCTAAGTGCTGGCTATGCCAGATTTATAAAAGCAAAACAGCAATTCATGGCAGGAATAATAGCAATTGGTGTATATTCTCATCATACTGGGTAATTACATTGCAAGGTCATGAAACTAAATATAGTTAGTCAATAAAATGTTATATATAAAAACTCATTTTTTATTACACAGTTTTCCCTGATTATGTTATCTTAATACATTATCAAATATTTTGAAGACAACAAGGCATGTATCTTTCACTATTCAGTTCAAGAGAGAAATTTTTGCTAAATAGATGGCAAAGGTTTTTCCTGGAATACCTGTTGGGTTCATGAGGGTCCAGGGGCTATGACACTGTTTTGCAGCATGTCCAATTCCCATGCATCTATTAAGTAAGTCTCTAAAAAGCAAATAAAACTCAGCAGGAGTAAGGATCTGGGCTTTGAAAATTCAAATGCTGTTTTACTGAACCCCCCAGAGATCCGAACACCTTCTACCTTGACCTTGTTCAAGCAAGCCTTGAAAACCTGGCTCTTCCCCCAAGCCCTGAATTAGGGAATGTGATGGGCCCCTTATGGGAATATGTGGGTTACAATTCTATTGCTGCTGCTGGATGTCTATAGTTCTTTTGCTAGTTATATTATTTTAAACTGTATTTAATATAATGTGACACTCAGAGTAGTTAGGAAGTTAGATGGCTTTAGATATGCAATAATAAATAAATAAAATATCCATTGCTTTGTAAACACTCTGAACTTATCTCTCAAGTACCTTAGGTATACATTTTGCTTGGACTAAATAATTCTACTTTATTCATATTTGCCCATCTTGTTTATTAGACTGTTTATTAGATTTATAACACACTTTTCCTCTAGAAGCTCAAAGCAGCATACACAGAGCACTGCTTCCTCCAATTTTTCCCCATGACAAAAACCTTGTGATGTGGGTTGCGCTGACAAAGTGTCATCTACTGAGTTTCCATGGTTGTGGGGTGGACTTGAACCTGAGTTTTCCTGGTCCTATTCCAACACCTTAATTAATTCACCACCCTGACTCTCAGGTTTGTGACATGAGTTCCAGGGGTCAACTATATAATAGATTTTTTTATCCTCTGGCTTGTAATGGGAACCTAAAGAAGGTTCAGTGAGGAAACAGCATTCTCTAGCAGAAGGTAGTCAATTTGTGATTCCAGCTACATAGGCCCTGAACTTTTTTTTTTTTTTTTTTTGGTATTATAGGAGCTCTCTCTAATTGGATCTCAGATTTTTGTTCCAATGATTACTGATTGTAATGGGAACCTAAAGAAGGTTCAGTGAGGAAACAGCATTCTCTAGCAGAAGGTAGTCAATGTGTGGGTCCAGCTACATAGGCCCTGAACTTTTTTTTTTTTTTTTTTTGGTATTATAGGAGCTCTCTCTAATTGGATCTCAGATTATTGTTCCAATGATTACTGAAAACTAGGTCCTCAAGTTCCTGCCATTTTGAAGTGGGAAATACATGAAATTCTAGGCTATAAAATAAGGATAAACAAAGAAAAATATAAAGAAAACCTGAGTCTTCCCCCAGAAAAATGAAAATTCCCAGCCTGCCTCATCTATTTGCATAATTTATCCATCCACAGAGACTCTTACCCATACTTTGTAGATATGTTTAGGTATGTGTCATGAACAAAGATAGCAATAAAAGATACCAATGAACAAAGATTGGGATATCATGCAATCATTACATTTGCTTGTATGCAAAGATGTTTTAATTGCCTTTTATTTCTAGCCAAGTTTGTAATTACTCTGGATGAGAGAGAAGATGACATTTTCAACATGTTATCCATCTTTTCTACACCAATAAGAAATCTCAACTCAGATTAAAAGTGCAAATACCTCAAGTTTTTCCATCTCTCTTTTTCTGTTTGGTTTTCTGGACTTTCACTTTCATAGGAAGCCAAATACAAACCTAAAAAAATGAGATGGGGAGAGAAAGAAGACAAATTAGTTATTGAATTGCTATTAGTAGTTCAAAGGTTAACAGTCTCAGAAAACAAAAACAAGATGCTTGTTAAAAGTAAGGAAACAATCTGCTGCACAGCTAGGGCATTTCAAGAAGGCCAGACCTCTTGTTCACAAACTCTTCTGAATTCAATCATAGCCCACTTGATATTGTCTTGGGTCATTCTGACCATTTCAAATCATTCTGTAAATCAGAGAATGGGGCATCTTAGATACATAGAACCATCAGCCAATCAAGATGTCTTTTGGGGAATAGCCAAAAGAACTGCCAACCAACCAAGGCATAGTTACTGTAGATAGACGGACATTATTAAAGAGGTTTTCAACAGAATTAAAACAGTACAAATTTTGAGTTGAAAGTAAGAACAATAAAGAAAAGTAATAAGCGAAGAAGAAAGAAAAAGCAGAAAAGAAAAAGGAAAGAAAAGGTTACAAAGAAGTGGCTTCCAACCTTCTTAACAGCGGTTATAAATGCGTTTATATTTTACCCTCTCTCTCTAAGGTTACATCATACTTTCCATAATCAACCCTTTCTAATCATCAAATCCAAATATCCAATCAAGGCTTAGTTACTATGCAGAAACAACTGCACTGGCATCTCCCCTTACATTAAAAAAGAACTAGTAAACTTATTGTTTCACAGCCTTTCACAACTTACATCCTGCATTTCACCTCCTTTTCAAGCCAGCATGCTGATGCAGTGAAGTGGCATATGGGAGCTGGGGGAGTCAGATATCCTAATACTTCCTAGTGCACACGAGGCAGCAAAACACTTCTGCTGCTGCTGTGAGGCTCCCTAATAAAACATGGAGATTCCTTGTTCACAGGAAAAGCCAGCACTAACTCAGCAATACACCATAATCACACAGTGCTGTGGGAGAGGGGTTAATTGACATGCCCATCTGGAATCTGCACAGCATTCCACAAGGACATGATGCATAGATACTTGTAATTACGCCTTAAAATGAATGGGTGTTCAGAGCCCCCACACCTTCAAATGATATTAAACGGCTTCATACATCTAATAAAAATGAAGCTTCATCTGAACCCACTACACAACTACATTTATGAGCCACATTCAGGCACTGAAGTTTACATGATGAGGGCAGAAGAAAGATGCATTTGCTGGTCCCAATTCTTCTACTGTGCTCCTGCCATCCAATCTCTTTTCCTCCATGTGCTGGAAACCAGTATGAAGCTTCTTGTCCTTTGGTCTCTATACTGGAGGTAGCCTGCTAAAGCATGAGAGAGCCATCACAGGTGCCATCTGATGCCCAGATGACAGGGAAGTAATTAAGAAAGTGAGACCTGTTAGCATGTTCCCACTTTTGTCTAATGCAGTTCTATTCACATGAGATTTACAAATGTCCTAGAAATGATTCTGACAACACTGCACTTTCCTCCTGCTTTTCTAAACAGAAGTCACAACACTTAGGAAAACAACATGGAAGTATGAAGTCCATATATGCCATGTAAGCCTTTCTGTCCCTCTGTTCTTTGTCCCTCAATCAGCCCCCAAACAGTTACCATACCTGTTGTTTCCATGCCTGCCCAAGAGTTCCCCCTCATCAGACTCAATGCACAAGATGATTGACCCATCTGCTGAAGTGCCCTTTTTCACTCCAGAATGCAAGTACTTTCAGAATGATCTGATCCTTCGTCCTTTTTGGCACCAATTGTAATTGCTTCATTTGTTCATTTAAAGTTTTGACAGTTTCTTATGGATCTTGAAAATGATTTTCCTTGCTGTATTCTGAACTCACATATATCCAATAATGTCCCAGCTGTTCCATACAGGTTTTGTGGATGGGTTTTAAGGACTTTTGTTTAAAAATCAAAAGTTCAGAAACACACCAAAAGTCTAAGCCTGTACGCATATGCAGGCACAGTTAATTCATTCAGCCTCATCTCTGACATGAGGATAATGGGATATGACTGAATTAATTTCTTATGAAAGGACACAGGGAAACATGATCTATCAGGTGGATAGGAAGAGAAGTCAGACAAAAACTCTATAACAAACAGGCATGATTAATTGCATCCAACAACAACTGTACTCTTTTTCAAGCATAGCACAAAAAGTGAATCTTCCTTTGCTGGGAGCTGGCCTCTACTTTCTGTGTCTGAAGCCATCACGAACATTATTTGCAAAAGCACAGATCTGCTGACATGTTGTGGCAGACCCACACAGTAAGGCTGTCAGGTCTATTCCTCTGTGGATAATATACAATGATTGGCTATAGCCAGATGTCCTGCTGAAAAGTTACGGAAAGGATGAAGTCTCAGATAATCATCCTAATAGCTACTGATTGTAGACAATGTGGATTTGTACAAGGGCAAATTCTGAAATCCGTATTTTCAATCAAACATATAGAATAATGTCAGTAGCAGATATGCTATTCATGAAATCAGGGTGTTCTTACCATCTTCAGTAAAGATAGGGGCAGTATGTAAATAGTGGATTATGTTATCATCCCGTTCAAATGGACATTCAACTTGTTTCCATGTTATGAATTCTCCCACTTGTTTAGCCAGTTCCAAGAATTTCTATATTAATTTTAAAAAGAAATATTTAGATAAAAGGAAGTAATATTCTAGTAAAATTATGACTGTGGCTTCAGAATACTCCAATATTAATCTGATAACGTCTGAAAAAAATTGGAGTATGTGATTTTTTTTCCACTAGAGCTTTTCTATATTTCTGTAATATAGAAAGAAATACATTAATTTGCAGTTTTAATAAAATACTCTGATCTGGAATTCAACAGCTTATGTGCTTTACATAACTTTGCTCTGCTACTATTTTTAGCAGTCTTCTAAAATTATGCATCTCACCAATTAAGACTAAGTACTTCTATATTATTATATCCAAGTATTGACAGAATTATAATTATATATCACTAATCATTTCCAAATCATAACCTTTCCTTAATTTCCTTACAATTACCTAAGCTTCTTAATGTGACAGTAAGATCTATATTCTTAGTAAAGTCTAAGTAAATACAGAATAAAATATCAGAGATATAAACATATATGTTAAAATTCATTCATTAATATAAAAGACATAATCAGTAACAATAATTGAAATTCACCCAAAATAGTCCTGTTTGAATAATCATTAATCATACATAGTAATAAAACAGACAGGCTGATGATTCTTAAATGAGCATTGGTGTTAATACATAATCATGAAACAAAGAATAATAAATTTGTCTGACATTTTTAATTTGATGAGGGGCTATCATTTAAACACAATCCTTGGAATTTACAATAGCTTTGGTAGTGAATACTGATGCAAAGCTTTATTCCAGAAATGGTTCATTCTCTTAGAACTTGTAAAATAATATTTAAAAATTAAATGCTGAGATTGCATATATATGTAACGTAACAGATGCAAGAGCATAAAATGACAATTCCATGTATTGTTCTCAAGCGGGCTCTGCAAACAAAATCTTCCCTCCAGGCTAGACTTTGGATCTCTATCCCTGTTTTACGGGGAGATCCCAGCTCTGCAAGTTGCTACAGCAGCTAATTTCCATCCCGAGTGCTGTGCAGTTCAGCTACTTCTGCTTCCCACCTCGCAGTCCGCCCCAGTATCTCTGGCTTCCTTGAGCAGCAAGATGGAAGGAACAGTTTGCTATGACTCTTCTTCCCCGCAAAATCCTCCTCCTGGAAGAAAGCAGGCCCTGCCTGACACTCAGAGTAGGAAAAGATCGACAGCAGCAACCAGTAGCATGGTTGCTGAGAGGAAGGGGAACCAAAGAACTCTATACGTAGCAAAACATATTTTTGTAGGCAATGTCAATATCAATATTTTTGCCTCTGACTACATCCTCTTGTATCTGCTTCCCTTGACCTTCAGGGGATGTTTTTCAAGGTGGGAAAAGTTCGATTGTGTAGTTGACCCTCAGAATGTAGGCCCCATAGATATGAATCCTGAAATAAGTTTGCATCTGTGTCTGTGTGTATATAGCAATTACCTTTGCTTCTTTACAATGAAACAAAAGCACAATGGCTCAAAAACATTTTCTGTGATAAAGATACTTGCTGCACTTACTTCAAAGTTGACATGCCCATTTGGAAGGCGGTTTGCACATCCCTCATTCAAAAAATAAATGTCTTTGATCAGTAGGCTGAAGAAGGGGATCACAATCTGTAAAGAGAATGACAGAACAACTGTCTCTGCCGTTCTATTCTTGATGCATAAAAAACCAGTTCATTCACATGAAGTAAGGAGATTAACTTTTCAGTTCTAATGAAGAAACAGTATGTGAGCCAGGCCAGTGGACCCATAAAATATCTGCAGTGCTGGACTAGTCTTCCCTGCGCATAGCAAAGGCAAGGCCACAAACACAGATACAATAATTCCACAAAGATTAAATACATTCCAAGTTTTCAGTTGATAAGTTATTGCTATTTAGTAGGATAATATTTAAAGGTAAATAAGATCATGTTATCCAAAGGAAAAGTTCCATGTGAATTTAGTGAGTATCAGCTCTCTACAAAGAGATGGGAAACAGTTCAACACAACAAGGGGCGGAATCCTGAAAACAAAGTCAAGTAAACATTTACAATTAATCCCCCTAAGCAAACATATGGAATAGGCATTTGTGACAAAAGCCTGTGAAACATAGAGCAGAAATTCCAGTCACATGAATAAAAGGTGATCATTTCTGTTGCAACACTGATACCCGTGGACAGAATGTTTTTAATATAGGGCTTAGTTTTCTCATGGATCAATGTTGAAATCTAGTGAAACAACATGGATTTACTTTGGCTATATTATCTTCTACATGTTTGGTTTCATCCTGAATTTGGAACTCTTCTATTCTAACTATAGCATATTAACTCTGGTACTCAATTCATTTGAACAATTTGGAATGAGTAAGCTTGTGCAGAAACCAGTGCACAGGAGTATAAATATAAAGATGCATTTTGAATACTAGGCTATTCATCATGGTACAGAAAAAGCTATTTTTCTAGAACATTAGCCCTAAGAGGTACTACTGACAAATCCTTCCTTCCTTCCTTCCTTCCTTCCTTCCTTCCTTCCTTCCTTCCTTCCTTCCCCTCCCCTATCCTCCCCTCTCTCCCTCCTTATATATTTATCAGACTACTGTCCTGCCTTTATTTTGTGCAACTTAAGGCAGTGTACATAATGTTCCCTCCTCCTATTTTTCCAACAACAACCCTGTGAGATGGGTTGGGTCAAGAGAGAGTAAGTGTCCAAAAGTCACCCAGCTGGCTTCTGTGCCCTTAGGAGCTCACAGTCTCCTGGTTTCTAGTCCAGCACCTTAACTATTATAACAAATGGCTTTGCAAATTTACTACTGAAAATGCAGTTTTATGTGTGTGGGGTTATGTGTCTATTTATATCCTGTAGCAGTATTTATTTCAAGTAATACAATTTACATGAGGGAGGGCAAGAAACTGATTCATGCTGGAGGGAAGAATTATGTATCACATTTCAGGCAGCACCGTGTCCTAGCCAACCTTGATTTTGATCCAAATCTCTCTTTATTGGAACTGCTTTGCAGATAAGCAAAGAATGGAATTTGTCTTCTTTTCAAATATCCTGTTTATAAATGGAAAAACACATGATACAGATTGCTGTGCCCGAATACTATGATCAACATTCCCCAGGTTGGTGCCATTCAAATTGTGTTGGTCTGAGAATTATACAGATGTAGCCCAATACAATTGGAGAGGTTAGGAAAACTGATTTTTTTCCTTCTTGAATTTCCCTCTGTGGGCTTTTTTCCTAAGGTGGCTTTTGGCCTAGGACAGTATAAAAGCTGTAAAGAAGCAGTTAGTCTGACAAGTTAGCCCTCTGTGGCTACAACTCCACCGTGACTGACAAGGACTAGCTGTGGTATGCTCTTCTGTCCTAAAACATCTTTTTGAAGTTTTAAACCTACCTGACAGCAGAGAGAGAGAGAGAGAGAGAGAGAGGTTTAAATTCCCATAAGCTTCTCTCATAGGAGGTAGAAGGAAGGGCTACTAGTCTGAACTGGCATTAAGGAGGAAATCTTAAAGAACACCAGAGGGAACTCTATGAGAAGAGTTGGAATGGAAGTTTGCAAAATGTCTGGCAACTAAAATGGAGAAGACAGTAAATTGCTCTTTTAGGACCGAAAGAGTTTAATTAGTATTAATATGAAATTCTGAGGTCAGAAACAAATGCTCAAACAAATGGTTTTCCTATCTATGTAAAGCTAGGGAAGAGGGAGAAATCATTCACAGTGGTGTGCAATGCAATCAGCTATGCTTGAAATTGAGAAACTGAAAGTGCTGTTCTGAGTCTGCTCTGTCAGCAATTTCAATAACTGGTGAAAAAAATTGGAACGCTGGATGTCAATCACATCTCCAGAACTCATAAACTAGTCACCCAATCAGATACATCTTTAAGTTGTTTGTGATTCTTTCTCTGCTCTGAAAAAAAGAAAAAAAGCAATTCCCAGTAGAGAATTTGCCTTCTTCAGGATGCAACATGATAAATAGATCACAGTTTCTCTTCCCATAATACTCTGCTAGTAAAAGTTCAACCTTAAAATACTCTAAAAGAGAAACTGAAATTGTAATCACAAACTGCAAAGCAATAACAGGATATAATTATCTGTAATATAAGTATACACTTGCCAACTGCTGCATGGGTAACAATCAGCTGCAATGAAGTCCTGTATAAAACTTAAATAATAGCAGCCACTGGAAGAGTTACAAGAGAACCTGCCAGGTTCCACTGATGATCTTTCTGACCCTTTTACAGATTGAGCTCTGTGCCTAGTGGCCAATGCAAATATTATCCTGAAGCAGAGTTCATGGAGTATCTAAAGGTAAATTTCACACCACAGAAGCTGACTTAGCTCCCCAAAATATTGGGAGACCAAACACGTTTCAGAGTTGACTCTGATGGGGCAAACAACTGGTGGAAATGGATAATGAAATATTGTGGAAGTTTGTCTTCCTGTTTTCTGTTTTAACATCAGAGAAGCAGATGTGAAAATTTGCTGGTGCTCTATCTCTGTCCATCTGTCTTGAAGAGATTTTTAGAGAGTAGGAAGAAAGTATGCAGGAAGTACAAAAGGCTAAGCCCTACAATGACTGTAGTCTATTATAAATGGATGTTGTGTCCTTTATTTACCAAAAGTGTTACATTAATTTATATCCATCAGCACCCAATAAGAGTTCCAACAACTTTGCATGCCCTCAATAAGTTTCTGAACTCAATTCAGATTGATGATCTTAATGTCCAGAGCTACATGGTTCAGGACGCAAACATCTACTGGATTACTGTTTCCTGCATGAGTCCATCCATCCATCCATCCATCCATCCATCCATCCATCCATCTATCATGACCTTTTTATGACTTTAAAATCATGTGAGATAGGGTTTTTTTAGCAGCAGAAAGAATAGATTCCTCGTTTTATAAAGCTCTGAGAAAGGTAAAAGGCATAATGTCCATACCCCCACCATTCCCTTCTCACTGCACTTTGTGTTTTTTTCTCTTCACTTTTTATCTGTTGAAGTTGATTGATCGATGACTTCAGAGTACTGAAATAATGCTTGAGATTATATTTTCACTGACTGAAAGTATAAATCCATCTGATTTTTTCAAACATCAAATTACATTTTCAGTGGGGTCCCTTGTATGTGTGTGCCCAGGGTAACTGATCATCCTACACAAGCAGCTCTAGCTGTTACCCTTAGATAGGCTCTCTACAAAATGTTGCTATTTCTCTCAGTTTTTAATATGCTAATACAACCATTTTAAACTGAGAGCAGTTTTGATTCTATTCTGTCACACTGAGTTCATCTATCACCATGTTGCACTTTGTTTCCTCTTTTTTCATACTCTGCTTCTGTAGATTCTTACTGCTTTTTAACTGTTTAGAAAGAACACTAATGTACAGTATGTTGATCTAAATTACAGAAATAACAAAATTAAATAATTCCAGACAAAAGTGTAAAGGAATGGATGCCAACCTCCGAAAAGCACTGATGGCCAAGATGCATTGACATCATTTTGGCTTTCCTGTTTAGCTTCCTTTATTCTCAGTGCCCTAAATTAAATTCATCATGCAGTTTCTTCTTGATAGCATCCTTTAGAATGCAATGGAAGTACAGTCTACTGTGAACAGCACATGCTGAATGTGTTGAAGATTTGCAAGTCAAATAAGATTGTCAATTAAAGTGTTAAGATATTCATCTCTTTCATTTGCCTAAAATAATTCATTTCATGATATATATGCTTCCATTCAAACACCAGATTGTCTCTTACACACTTTTTATCTTTGTCTGTACAGATCTTGCTTCCAGCAGTTCACAACTCCAAGCTTCTAGGCTGACAATTTTAACAGTTTTTTAAAAATATATATATATTTAGTCACTGCCCAACTTAAGAGATGCAGAAAAAAATATTTTTCTTTATTCAAGTGGTAAACAAATGAACCAACAAACCCAAACACTCTATTTTATACATATTCTTCAAAAGAACAAGAAGAGAATTTGGGTATAGGATCAGCAATGAATAATATTGCCCTTAAATAAGTAATCATAACATTTCATTACATTTTTTCCAGCATGAATAAAAATATTGTCTTCCGCATAGTTCTAAGAAGGTAGTGAAATTTTAGAAAGCGGTGAAATTAATACTTGGAGACTGGGATACTGAGTGGGGTGGAGAATGGACTTTGAAAAAAAGTCATTTAAATTCTAGTTTGTTGCTTAAATAGTTTCTGAACAGTATCTACATTCAGACAAAATAGGAAATAGCTATTCACTGAAAAATACCTTTCCTTTCAACTATTCACTCAAAGTTGGACTCTAGCTGAACAGGTCCTATGGAGCTGCCTGGTGTACAGCCATGCCTGAGTATCTGGGAAAAGTTTGAACCAATTAGTCCTGATGAAGTTAACAGGTCTTGGAGCTATTTGGCCACCTGTAATTTAGATCCATGTCCCTTCTGGCTGGTTAAGGCCTTCCAGGAGGAAGCATGTGGTTAATGCTTCTTTACAAGAAGGCTTGGTTTCTGCCTTCCTTGGAGGAGACAGTTGTTCCCCACTCCTCAGGAAACCCATGCTGGACCCAATGGAACTAGACATTTTTCTTCCAGTCTTCAACTTTCTCTTTTTAAGGAAGGTGGTTGCCTTGCAGCTCCAGAGGGCTCTGGATGAAGCAGATTATCTGACCCTTTTTAGTTGGGATTCAGACCAAGTTATAGCACTGATACAGCACTGATTGCACTTGTCCATCCTGTCCTCCTTGATCTCTCAGTGGCTTTTGATATCAGTGATCGTATAGCCTTCTGGACTAACTCAGGGGATTGGGAGGCATGATGCTGTGGTGGTTCTCCTTTCTCCCACACTGGTTCCAGTCAACACTAGTAGCGGAGAGAGGTCAAGCCTGAGGCTTCTGCTTTCTAGGGTTCCTCCATCCTCTCTCCCCATTCCTATTTAAGATCTACATGAAACTGCTGAGTGAGATTATCTCTTGACATGGGGAAATGTATTATCACTATGCTGATGATACCCACCTATACGTGTTTGTCCTGGGTTGACTAAGTGATGCACCAAGGTTCTTTCTCAGGATCTGGAGGTTGTGGGGCCCTGGATAAGGAAGAACAGGGTTCGGTTCAACCCTGGCAAACTGAGGGGCGGTGGGTTTTAAGTCCCCCTGGATCTGGAGATTTTCCATCTTTAGCTCTGAATGGGGTAGCACTCTCCCAGACAAATGTACAATTTGGGGATCCTCTTGGACTCACGGTTCCTGTTTGAAGAGCAAGTGGCAGCTGTGGCCAGAAGGGTCTTTGCACAGGTTTGTCTTGTGCAGCAATTATGCCTTTTCCGTTCACACCTAAGGCACTTCCTGCTTAGATACTGTAATGTGCTCTACATAGGGCTATCCTTGAAGAGTATTTGGAATCTGCAACTTATCCAGAATTCCACAGTGTGGGCAGTTCTGAGTCTTTTGTGATACACCTATATAATACTGCTGCTATGTGATCTGCACTGGCTTGCCGTAAGCTTCTGGGTGCAATTCAAGGTGTGGGTTATCACCTATGAAGCTGTACAGGACCAGGTTTCTAACTGCTTCTACTTGTCCCACCAGAACCAACAGGTGGGCATACTTTGAGTCCCTTCTGTTAAGCAGTGCCATCCTGTAGGGTCCAGGAGCTGTGCCTTCTCTGTTGCAGTGCCTGCTCTGTGGAACAGTATCCCCCAGAGATCTGGATGGCCCTGACCCTGTTGGCTTTTCACAAGGTATTAAAGACCTCGTTGTTCCCTCCAGTATTTGGGCAGATTATTAAGTGAGCCCTGCTGGCTGATTTGTTTGGCTGTTGTTTCTTTACTGATTCAGAATATGGAATGTTTTTAGACCTAAGGTATATGTTTTATTGATAGTTTTTGGTTGTTTATTTTAACAAATTGTGTTGGGTTGTCTTTTGGCTTTAATTTTCTATCTGCCAGCTAAAATTACTGCTGTTAGATGGGTGGTCATTAAAATAGAAAACTTAAATAAAATATTAACCTCCCTTCATTTTTACTTTTCTGTGCCAGAGAAATAAATTAATCAGCAAAGAAAATGAGACCTACTAATGAAACAGCAGGCTTATATCATAACCATCTTAAAAGTTTCAGTTTCTTTGTTAAGTGTATGTTTCTTGTATTAATGTCCCTACTCTTCATTTACAATGCAGCAGGAATTCTGTGTCCAGGACAGGCCAGCAGAAGATATATTTTTCTTTTTCCTTTGTTGCTGGAGCAGATGATGAACCAAATTCAGACTTGGCTTTATTGTAAAATCTTTATTTCTGAATAATTATAACACATTTCCCTTAGTAGGAAATCCAACTCTCCTTGTTTCCTCCAAACAATGTCTTTTTCGTTCATGTGTCTGAAACTTGTATTTGTAGTACTCTGGGTCTATTAAGCCTCTGGGAGAGGTATAGAAAACTCTGGCCCTCCAGATGTTATTAGATTCCAACTCTCTTCATCCATAGAGAGCATGTTAAATGATGAGGGATGATGGGAGCTATAGGCCTGGTTCACACACAGCTTTAAGTAATCATATGATTTATTCATTTTTTACTTGGAATGATGTGTGAACCTACCCATTATACCCATTATGGTTTAGTGTTATCTACTCAGCAAAACTTTTTTTTATAAATCCTCCCATCATGTTATATGCGAACACAGTTTTCTTGGCATGGTATGGAAGCGGTTTCCACTGCCGCCTTCTGGGATTTTTTTTTACTTCCTAATTTAATTTATAGCTCTGGACTTCTCAGAAGATCCCACATCCATGTATAATCCAGGGACAACCCTATCTAGCTTGGTTAATCAGCCAATATTGGCTAGCTGTTGTCCAACCTCTTCTTAAATATTTCAGCAAATAAAGCTCACCACACATGGCAGCCTGTTCTACTGCTAAATAACCTGTGGCTAAGAAGTTTCTACTCATTTGGTATAGGTTAACATGCAAAGGATTCTCACAGCGTGGCTAATAAGGACTTACTAAGACAAAAAATGAGAAATATGTTATATCTCATGATACTTATTTTAACTGCTTTTCACTGATAAGAAGTTCCCAGTTAATTGCCAGAGACACAGCTATGTTAGTCTGTTGCAGCAAAATCAACAAAGAAATTTGCAACTCCTATCTGAATGTAACCCTCTTCCCTCCCAACATGGGTGAATTTTGCATATATACTCCTAATGCAGGGTAATACTTCATATGATTGATGAAGTTAAGTGTAGTCCATTAAAGTCAATGATGTAACACGTTTGCTCATCTTTGAGTGCCACCTCTTTGCTCTTGTTTAATTGATATTATCAATTACAGAATAATCTGTAGAACTAGAATGCTCCTACTTGATTTTATTTGTATTATAACATGTTAGGGATAATCACAAAGAAACAAGCAGTGCTGTTTTTAGTTATATGACAGTCTTATAATTCTACATGTTTGACATCCCCACAAGCTTTTCCTTATGGAAGCAGAAATACTATTTTACACATTTAATGCACCTAAAACAAACATAGAGAGCCAGTTTGGTGTACTGTTAAGGCACCAGGCTAGAAACCAAGAGACTTTGAGTTCAAATCCCTCCTTAGGCACAAACCAGCTGAGTGACCTTGAGCCAGTCACTCTCTCTCAGCCCTAGGAAGCAGGCAATGGCAAACCACTTCCAAAATCTTGCCAAGAGAACTGCAGGAACTTGTCCAGACAGTTGCCAAGAGTCAACACTGACTTGAAAGCACCAAAAAAAAAAAAAGACAAACATGTAAGTTATTTCAGCTTCTTTAATTGCTCCTAATCCACTCAGTGTATAGCAATTGTTCCTATGAAACTGCCTGACCTCAGTACTGATCAAGCTAGGCAGCATGCACTAATGTCTTTCTGAAACCTTTCAATTATGGCTATGTTTTCTGACAGTGACATCAGGCACTGTCATGTTCTTAAGTTCATTAAGGTAATGAACTCCTGGAGGCAGCAAGTAAAATGTTTATAGTTATAATAACAATAATACCTTTTCCCTGTTGCTGTGTGCTGTTAGGGACCGATGAGCAGCTCCCCTTAATGCAGTCCTGTAGTTATAAAAATTGCCAGTAGGATCCATCTGGTGCTGAAATAGAGGAGGTGGTGGGATGTGAAGAGAGAAGGGCCATGTGAAAGTTCTTGAGTCAGACGATATTTGGTATTATCTTTCCATTACAGAGTTTACAACTTCATAAAAAGGCTAAATGACACAGGTGAATTGAGATGACTCAACCTTTTCCATGCAAGTCAGTCTATAACACTTTCTGTTATCTTCTCTCCTTAGTCTGTAACATTTTTGTGGAAATAAACTCCTAAGGATGCATGTAGAATGCTTGCTAATGCTATCTTTTTCATGGATTGTTCCTACTTTATTTTGTGGTTGTATCTGGAGTGAAATGAATTTGCTCTTCTATGTGGATGAGAACTTTTCCATTCTGGAATCTCTTTTTGTATCCAGAATTTGACATGGTATGAAAGGCCCATTTTATCATGTGACCCTTGATTATGAACACTTAGTAAATACACAATTCTCAGCATATTACCTCAAGAATAAAAAACTTGGCTGTTTTCACTTTTGACCAGGTCTTCTTTAGCCTGGACACTGGACTCATGTTCATCCCAGCTAGAGGGAAAGAAGATGACCAATGGAGGAAGACATTAAGAAACAGAATCATCTTTGAATATCCATAAAATCATACCGAAGTGACACTGGCACACTTACAGATGATTGCCATCAGTGAATTAAAGTTCCCTATGTTAAAGCACTCACGAGCAACATCAATGAAGAATTCGATGACTTGTGCCCTCTGCTTCTTTTTGGCAGGCTGTCAACAAACAAGCAGATGAAGTAGCCAAGTGTAAAAAATGACTGAAATGTCAGAGCTCCACAAATAGGAAATGTCCTTTTTTAATGCTCAATCCAACAGTTTCACAAAGCTAAAAAATCTCATTCAAGCAGTTTGATTATTGGCACTCACTCCTGCCAGCTATCAAAATTCCCGTTAGACACTGACCAAATCCTAGTATACCTTTCAAAAATTTCTTCAACACTGATCTGATAAATGCACACTCAAAAAACAATTAATTCCAGAGATACTCTGTCTAGCAAACTATCAGTGTAATGACAACTATTGTAACTTTTTCCAGGCTTGAACTGAAGAGATAGACAGTAAAGACATTCTCAATGTCTATCTTGGTTCTGCAGACCACAAATAAGTCCATCTTTTCTCCACTGTGTATTCCAAGTGTGATTTGATCAAACTGTCCCATATTTTTATACCAGAGTCTCATGCTGCTCCCAAAAATCTTGTGACCAGCCCCTGTAGACCCACCAAAAACTGCCACAAAATTATAATGTTTAATGTGACAGCAGAGATAAAATACCCTGGGATCGGCCTTTCCCTGAGCACCAATCCTGCGGTGCACCTTGGTTTATTGAGGAGCTCTGGGAGATGAAGCACCAGAAGAGACATCTGGAGCACCATTGGAGAAAGACTTGAACCAAGTCTGACCTGACACAGGTAACAGCCCATATTAGGGATTGTGTCGATAAGGGTGGCGAAACATCAATATTTCTCCACATTTATTGTGTCCACTGATAGCCATCCAGTGGCTGTATTTGGGGTGACCTGATCCTTATTGGGTAGGGAGGGCCCCTTAGAACATCTGCTGGGGCACTGTGAGGATTATTCAGCTATCTGCTCAGAATCACTCTGATTTGGACTCCGACTGGGCAAGGCAGGCCAAGATGCCTGGGGCATGGTCTGGGTGTGTGATCTGGGATGAGTTTCAGCCAGTGACTCCCAAGGAAATGGACAGGGTTCTCTGTGCAGTCAGCTTGACCACCTGTTTACTGGATCCGGGACCTTCCTGGGTCATAAAAGTGGCCAGGGAGATGACCTGTGGTTGGGTCCATGCTGTAGTGTCAGCCTCTCTGATGAAGGGGGTTGTACATCCTGCCTTGAAAGAGGTGTGGTGCACCCTCTCCTCAGAAGATCATCCTTGGACCCAATGGTTTTTGACAACTATCGACCAGTCTCTAACTTTCCTTTTTGGAGGAAAGTTGAGAAGGAGTCAGTCTGCAGCTGATGAGAACCCTGGAAGAGATGGATTATTCAGACCCATTTTAGGCCAGGATTTAGTACCAAGACAGCTTTGGTACACTTGCTGATGGTCTATGGCTGGCGCAGCTGAGATGGCAGTGTTGCATCCATCCTTGTGCCCCTTGATCTCTCAGCAGCTTGCAATATTGTCAACCTTCTGAGCCGGCTCTGTGGGCTGGGGGCACCATTTTATGGTGATTCTCTTCCTTTCTCCAGGGCCAGTTCCAGTCGGTGTTGGTTGGGGAGGAGAGATTGCTCCCTAGGCCCCTCCTGTATGGGCCACTGGAGTGTTTATTCTCTTCCCTCCCATATGAAACCGCCAGATAAGATCATTCATTGGTTTGGGGTTCAGTATTGTCAGTACACTGATGATACCTAACTATTTCTTTCAATTCTAGGCCAGCCAAGTGAGGCTGCTGAGGTTCTATTACAGTGCCTAGAGGTTGTTAAGGTTTGGATGGGGAGGAACCATCTCTGACTCAATCCTACCAAGTGGCTGTGGATGTTTGGGCCACTCAGATCTAGGGATGTTCCATCTCTGTCCTTAGATGGGGTTGTACTTCCCCATTCAAGAGTGGGAGTCTTCCTAGACTAACAGCTCCTGCTCAATGAGCAGGTGGCAGCTGTGGCTTGGAAGGCCTTTACACAGCTTCATCTGGTATGCCAGTTGTTTACTTTTCTAGACTGGGGGCTCTTCAGACAGTCACTCATATCCTGCTCATCTCATGGCTTGACTACTGTAATATGCTGTACATGGAGCTGTTCTTGAAGACCACCTGGAAGTTTCAGCTGGTCCAGAATGCAGCAGCATGGGCAGGGATGAGCAGGTCTTGGTATATCCATGTAACACCTCTGCTTTGCAAGCTGCACTGGTTGCCAGCTTGCTTCTGGGTGCAATTCAAGATGCTTGTTGTTACCTACAAAGGCCTGCATGGCATAGGGCCCACCTACTTAAGGGATTGCCTGTCTCCCATAGTATCTGCCTGGCCAATTTGATTGGGCAGGGTAGGTGTGCTCTGTGTTCCATTGATTAAACAATGCCATCTATTGGGACCCTGGAAGTGCACCTTCTGTAGAGAGTAAAGAGGATGACCTTGACGGAGAAAGGGAAGATCTGTTATCAAGACAACAAGCAGATAAACATTGCAGAAGCCCAGATTAGTGGGGAGGGGGATGAAAGCGTTTCAGACAGGCATCCCCCAAATTCACTTGAAGATAAAAGAGAAGGAGAAGCACATTCAGACCTGCAAAATTCTATTAGTATAGCCAAACTTAATAAAAGTAGTTTTAGGCACACCTGGCATCTGTTCCTTGGTCTGGTCTACCTTGTAAGGCTAATACCTTCTCCCTAGCAGCACCTGCCCTCCAGAGTGAGGTTCCCCCTGAGATCACCCTGCTGATGTTTTGAAGCACCTTGTAAACCTGGCTTTTCACCCAGGCCTTTGGCAAGGGTGAGTAAACCCTCCTTTGGACTATGTGAGCTTGTTTCATTCCTGTCCAGTTTTTTGCCACCTTTCCCATCCTCACTCTTCATTTTTGTCTGTCAATGTATTTTTTTTCTTGTTTTTAATGTTTTTATTTGTAACCACCCATGGTCATTGGGAGTCAGGTGGCATATAAATAGTTATAGTAATACTAATACATTGGGGAGTCATATTAACTAGATATATTTATATCTTAATTAAATTTAACCTTAAATTAAAATCAAATTTAGTTTTTGACCTGTTCCTTTTTGCCTTGGACTCACCTTCTTTGTGGGGTGTGGGCCCCAGGCATGACATTCAATGGTCAAATGTGATCCCTGGCCCCCCAATCATTGCACCCCCCACTGTACCAAAATGATTGCTTCGTCATTGCATCCATAGTCTGCTCTTTGCTTGACAATTTGCTTGTGGCTTACTGTGCAATTTCTGTGAAAAATACGCAAACTTAAAGCTTTTATTTCTTTTTTTAAAAAGACAAATTAGCTTGAACAATTATTTTTAATGAGGGGAAAAAAAACAATTCTACACTGAATTTGCCAAATGCTTTCAAAATGGCATAATCACACAGTCAGTATAACAGGAGCTGACTTACCATGCAAATTTCTGTTGCTACAAGATAGCAGAGTCTATTGAACCATTTTACATAAGCCTCAAGATTACTAGTCTTCTTCTGTTCACTGAAACAAGGCTGGAAAATAAAAACCAGATTAAAAACAATGACATGCACTAAATTCTTTTTTAGGGTTTTAGCTTTTTTTACATTAACTAAGCTAGCTATAAAGTGTTGCTCATGTGACAACAGAATATATATTTTTGAACATGTGCACATGGCTGCCTGACAGACAGGGCACGTGGATCTCCGTTTTAAATGTAAAAGGATAGGAAGTGGCAGATGTCTTTGATTTCACAGCCTATAGCCCTTTCTGCAAATCAAATCAATGCACAATGAACAATTCCATTTTGCCAGCAGCAACTGTTCAGAAGGCAATTTTTTCCTATCTGCACTCACTGAGTTATCAACAGGCAGATATTAACCCTGCAGTATGCAAAGAGCAACAAGAATCTGGGGAAAATGAAATCAGAGAAGTGTCCTTTCTGTGTCACAGCCACATTTCATCTATGCCTTTAACACAGGAGTTCTCCAATCTTGACAAATGCAATGGCTCAGGCTGTTGTTGGGTGGTCTAACAAAAAACATCATTTCTGATACAGAGAGAGGGGAAGGCAGTGTAGCCAGTGAGGTGGTTCCTGTTTGGAATGTTATTTGCCTTAAAAAATTGTTTCTTTCGCAAGATAATACTATCTGCAGGTGATCTCTTTATCTTGGCCAATTTCTATATCATCAGTTGCCGTGAAACAAGTCACCCAAATGGCAAAATTCATCAGCAAATGCCATTCTCGTGACCTAAACTTTTTAGACAGAGGTTTCTAGGCAACTGCTCAGCACTGGGAGTTCCCAGCCCTCCTTTCAAATGAATTTCAATCTAGTGACTTATAGTGCAATTCTATAATATCTACTAAGTCCCACTGAGCCCAATGGGACTTATTGCCAAGTAGGTATGCACAGCTTTGCAACATAAATTATTGAAAAATATTCCACCTGCAGATAGTATTTTCGAAAGCATTTATGAATCTATATTTTGAAATATTTTTATAACTTTAGCAACCACTAGAGGGTATCAGGAAGTATTAAAACAAATTTCTCTTATTAATGTTATAATTTCTAGCTCAGGCCCTCAGGATACAATAAATCAATGAGGAGGAAGTTTTTATACAGAGAAAAGGGGATTCCCATAAGTGGAATATATATAGAAAATGATACCATTTGGGATTTTTGGTTTTCACAATATTTGCAAATTTCTCTGTTGCAGAAAACATATCCTAAGGCTAAAGTTGATTAATGAGCGATGATGGAATTTCATGCAAAGCAGGAAGTACTTTTAAAATGCAAGCAGCCTGGAGCAGATTCAATATGATGGAATATAACTAGAAAAAAAAAATGCTGCTATTGTGTTCATGGCAAGAGAAGGCAACGGTGGTTTAAGAAGTGGTTTAAGCATCTTTTTCCATATACAGCAATATTGCTCAGATTAGTATTGTCTGGTTAACATATTATTTGGGCTTCTGTTTCCTACCATTTTTGTTTCACTGTCTAGAATGTTTTATTCTTTCATATGTGATATATTATCCCTAATGATTTCCTTATTTTCTTCCCTTTGCAGCAGCCTTTCCTTTTCAATCCATTCAGCACTGAATTACACCTATTAACATAGCATTCAACATTATCTCTTTCCTTGATTCTTAAAACTTGCTGACTAATCTAATTGAATTTCATTCCAGACATTCCTTTTTAATTTCAACCAACATTTACTCCTCATCTATTTTAATTTCATTTAACAGCCGAGTCCACTTTGTTTTCTATAGATGGCCCAAGCATCCAACTAAACACATTGTCTTGGATACTGTTATTCAGTAGCCTGATTTTGCAAATGCTAAATAAATAAATGGACATGCGGCAGTGCAAGCAAGGAAGACTGTACCGGCGCACAGCGTAACCTGTTCTTTGCACCAACTGTGCACTTCAGGTTCAGTAACATGTTGCCCACCAGATTCAAAAAGGCAAGCCAGCCCCCCTTTCCCCCATGAAACGACCAAATTTGTGTGAAATTACATGATAGCCCTGGAAAAGTTTGTTGATCCTGGACAAACCAACTATATATTAACATTATTTTTAACAATAGCCACCACCACCACCAGATGCTTAGCAGTTATGAAAAATGCTATTCTATAACCAACAGAAAGGAAGAAACTATAGCCAAAGTGAGGTGCAGGAAAGATGATCCCACACATCTGTTGTCTGCTACATGATCAGTTCCACTGCCACAACCCTATACTTCTGATACATTTCAGTTATAATTAGATATGAAAGAAAGGCAGCACTGTGGACATTTGAAAGGACACTATAGTTATGCTGACGCAACTGTAGCACCGTCTGATCCAAATGGAAGCTGGATCATTCATATTCATATTCATATTCCTGAATATGAATACTTTAAGTCCAATCCACCACCCTAAATATAAAATAGATTAGTATCTTTTTTATTAGTGTTTTACAAAAAAATCACCTGGTTCTTGGTTTATAAAAAATTATTGCAAATTTTTAATTAAGCCTTGGAACAGCCTGTATGCCTTCTCTCTCTGTCCATGCATGCAAATACATATTCTTAAGTGGCAATTTATCCTTCGTGACCACTTCCAATTGATTCCAATATACAGTGGTACCTCGGGATACGAACTTAATCCGTTCCGTGACTTTGGGCGTATCCTGAGTTGGTCGCAACCCGAAGCAAATTTCCCCATAAGGTTCAATGTAAAGTACAATCCCGCCAAGCCTGCTCTGCATTTTCTTTGGAGTCATGCTAACACGCACACCAAAAACCTTCGCAAAACACCGCAAAACACACCACAAGCCTCACCGAACACCTCCTCGCTACCGCGACCTCGCCCACAGGAAGCCGCAACCACGTGGCAGCAGGGAAAATGGCCGCGTATCCAGTTTGTAACCCGAGGTAAATTTTCCTGCCAAAGCTGGCCTCTACTATCGAAATGTTCAATAGTAGAGGTGTTCGTATCCCGAGGTACCACTGTACGATAATGTACAGAGCAGCCAAGGATCTCTTAGTAGGCTAATCATACCAGCAGCATGATTCATTCCCCAAAGTTCTTGATTTGCCCAGAGTCAACGTCTCTGCGAAGCCTTATATCAGTGCAACTGCAAATGCAAAAAGCAGACCTATGCAGCTGAGCCAGCCTAGTATTCCAGCTGCATTTGGAACCTGAGGTTTTGCTGGATGAATTTGAAGGCTATTATGATAAAATGATGGAAACAAAAAGCTAGTGCAATCAGTAACAATCATCATGATTTCCTCTAAGACTTCTGCAACTGAGCTATTTCAAATGGATTATTAAAGAAGACAGATTCTTAACCTGACCACAACTGATCTGTCACTGAAGCCTTTAGGCATGTCCTCTTATAATTCAGTCTGTCAATCTTTCTACTTGTTGGGGCCCTCATTTATTCTAGACCAGAAAAGGCTTATGATATTTGCAGGAAAGGCAAAGGCAATGCATGAACAAGTCAGCTTGTTACCAAAACAATGGATTTTAGACCAGAACGGGCTTTTACCCTTCCTGATCCTCTCTTTGTTCCCCTAATTCTCTTGCTGTTTTTGACCTGAATGTCATAACAAGCATTCCTAGCTGGTATCCAGCTTTTTGTCTCCTGGGTTTTGATAGGTGTCTATGTTCGCACAATCTGCCCGGTCTTTATCTTGTCCGATGTAGCTGCTGAGAAAGAGGCAGAGGGTTTCAAGTGACACACAACTTCCTCCGGGCAGCTTAACATCTCTTCACATCTCCGCCTGATTGACAAAATTTAGCCTTTCAGGACTAAGGCAAAAAGTCAGAGAAAGGTGGGTACCCCTGAAGAACACAGAAAGGAAGCCAAGGAAAGCTGAACGTATGTTCAGTCTTTAGCATGATATTATTACATTTTAACCAAAAATGTTTCTTTAATGTAAATCCAGTTTGCCTTAATCAAAGTTCAAGGCTGCAGAACTCCTAGGTAATAGCAGATATTAATACTGAATCTGTACATTTGCCAAGTTAGGAGAGGAAGTGGTAAATGCAGTGTTGCTCATGTACTCCATCCCACCAGTCCTGCTTTCCCATTGGGGAGAGGAAAAGATTGCAGGCCTATGAGAAGAAGGGAGCTGCAGGACTACAGCCTGCCAGCCCTAACCATCTACAAAGACAGATCCCAAGATTATTTGGAAGTCAGCAAATAAATACATAAATAAATTCACAGTTTTCTCACAATGACCACAAAATAAATAATGCAGTGAAGTACCCCAATTCAGTTCCAGGTTTACAATGAACAAATGCATACCACACTCTTGTTATAAACCTCCATGGAAAATGGTTTGCAGATACTAGAAGACTTCTGCTCATTTTCAGCCATTCATTTATTGCTTAGTGCTAAATTTTTATAGCTAATTCCAAAATCTTATAGTAAAAGTCAATATTTCAAATTTATCTGGACCCTTAATCTGTTTATAATTTTCTTAAATCAACATTTTATTTAGGTCTTTCCTGTTTATTTCAAATTCTTTTAAGTTCTTAAGCTTGTAATTAATTTTTCTTTTGTTCAGAGTGGAAGATAAACTCACCAATGAAGACTTTTCAAACCTTTCATTCAGAAGGTCTCTAATAGCTTAGAAGTAGTTAAGTAGTTAATGAGCAATTTCCAAAAGCAATTAGAAAGTGAGGTTTGTGAACTTAATGTCTCTGCTGTGGTTGCCAGCCAGGTATATGACCCCATTGTCTCCTGGCACTCAAACTCACGGAAAACTGCTGTTCTGCAGTCTCCTCATGAGGAGCAGCTGTCTGGAGCACATGTGGATAATCTCCCATCTGCTCCTTATCCGGAGAGGTTCCAGGGAACCAGTCTACTCATCAGTTCCTTGGTCTTTGCTGCAGTTGTCCTAGATGTTTGTACCTTCTGTATCTTAACTAATTGACAGATTATGTGCCATCAAGAACTTCCAGGGGAGTTATGGAGAACTGAAGACAGCTGTATGAAAGTGGAGCGAAAGACCGCAGCAAAGACCGAGGAACCAGCAAGTAGACTGATTCCCTAGAACCTCTCCAGATAAGGATAGGACAGGAGATCACCCACATGTGCTCCAGACGGCTGCTCCTCGCGACAGCAGTTTTCTGTGGGTTTGAGCACCAGGAGACAACGGGATCAGCCATCTTGCTTGCAACCGCAGTGGAGACTTTTAAAGGACCCTAAGTTCACAAACCTCACTTTCTAATCACTTTTGGAAATTGCCCATTAACTACTTTTAAGCTATTAGAGACCTTCAGAAAAACAAGTTTGAAAATGCTTGGAGAGTCTGCCTTTAATCCTGAACAAAAGAAAATTTTAATCATAAGCATAAGAATTTAAAGAATTTGAAATAAACAGCAAAAAACTAAGTAAGATTTTGATCATAGAAAGTTATAAACAGAGTATGAGGCCAGATAAAATTGAATATTGAAATTTTTACAATAAGATTTTGGAATTAATTATAAAGAACAAACAGCTTCTCATGAGAAATAGATTCTGTTTTGGTTTTTACAAGAGAAAACAAAGATAAGCAATTTCATGATTTCAAAAACTACACTAGAGGGGACTAACATTTTTAGGCAGAGGAAAAATTTACAAGCCTGTAAAATGTTGCAAAACATTATAACAATGAAAATACTGAAGGAGTATTTTCAAAATACTCCATCTGAAGAATGGAGTGAGAAATTAGTAGCCACGATATCAACAATGTCAGTAACAATGTTTGCTTCTATGGATAGACTATGTCTAAAAGAAGTTAATGAAGGAATTATAGATGTAGAAAAATTTCATCTGATAACATAAAGTACAGAATGTGGAACTATAAATGACAGGCCAAGAGAATGATTTGGAAAAGGACACTTTACTGGATATACAAAAGAAACTGGCTGAAATTTTAAAAATTAAAGGGGAAATACAAATGATAAAGAACATTGCAACAAAATGTTTTATTTTAACCTTGATCAAATAAACCAACTTTATATTCCTTTCTTTTATTTCTAACAATCTTTAATTCATTCAAAGTCATTGGATTTGATTTCTCTTCAGTTCTTCTTTATCCCATCACACAGATTTCTTCAAGGCTTTAACAAAATACAAATGATAAACCAAGAGAATGACCTGGAAAATGTTTTCTTACTGGATCTACAAAAGAGGCTTGTTAAAGCCTTGAAGAAATCTGTGTGATGGGATAAAGAAGAACTGAAGAGAAATCAAATCCAATGACTTTGAATGAATTAAAGATTGTTAGAAATAAAAGAAAGGAATATAAAGTTGGTTTATTTGATCAAGGTTAAAATAAAACATTTTGTTGCAATGTTCTGGCAACCCTTTATGGACTTTTTGCTGACACCAGGATTGAAAAGTTGATGTTTTATGGATTTGCTTATAGATAAAGGATGGGATATGGGATGGAGAGACATCTGTTTAACCTTTTAAGGGGTGAAGAGTTATTAAATTTGTTTCTACTTGTGATGAAGGTTGGAACACACTTCTTTATATATTTCTTTTCTTTTTCTTTATTATATTCTTTCTTTTCTTTCTTTTCTTTTTCTTCTTTTTCTTTTCTTGCACTTTGTATTCTTTCCATTTTCTTCTCTTTCTCTAAGTTTACTTTGTATTAGTTTTTACTACTGTAATTAAAATTCGTAATAAAAATTATATTTGATTATGTGCATCAAGTAGTTTTCAACTTCTGGCGACCATATAGATAGATGTCTGTCGCGGCGAACTATCTCTAACCTGGTATGTATGCATGTATGTATGCATGATTTCTTTTTTCTTTCTTTATTTTGGATTAGATCTATTTGAGTCTGAATGCTGATCTAGACAGTGGGCATACTAATTAGGCCATTTTCTCTTCTGTATGTGAATGACTGTTTTTCCTTGTTTTGTTGTAAAATAAACGTTTCCTCTTCTTCAACCTAAATATGTTTGGATTTGTTTCTTTGCGAGTCTCTTATTTGAGCTAATTATTCCTCACTGCTTCTGGGTTGGAGAATTCCTCTACATTTAGAAATAAATATTCTTGAACTGAATGAAACAATAATGCTATGTGTGCATCATCGATCTGGAAAAAGGTCCCTTGTCTAGGCATCCAGATTTACACATGCATGAGTTCACATATGTGTGAACAGGGAATACCTTGTTAGAAGATTCATTTCATTTCATCTGCAGTCTCATGCCCCAACTTACATGCCACCATGGGGAAATCACAACTTCATGCAGTTATAGATACCACACATGCTCATTGAAAAGGAGTAATATAACTGGACAAAAAAAGAAAATATGGGCAGACATACCTTTGTGCTATCCAAGGGATCTTTATGGCCAAATGCTTGAACAAATTCTTCAGGACCAATATGACTCAGTCTTTCCTTTTGCAGGAGATAAAATAAGAGAGTAAAAGAGCACCCCTGAGAATCACTTGTATTTGTTATTCACTGTCCCTGACATAGCACCATCTAGATTTGACAGCAGACTTTAAAAGTGATTTATGAAGCCATTCATTGGCTGATTGACTTATTCTGGTTTAATCGCCATAAGTAATTACTTATGGATAAGCCTGGATTAAAGTATGGGCTAACTGAGTGGCAGCCCAAGGTCCCCTTCAGTGTCTCGGGGGCTCATCTGGTTTTTACATGCACCTTCTATGCATTTATTCCTAGAGCTTGGCACTGTTTCTGCTATGTCTTATTAAATGCCCTCTCTTCTCTACATTTATTACTCATGTGCATATTAAAGTTCAGGAGATGCTGAGCACAGACTTTTATAAATAAGGACTCCATTTCAACAAAAACTGGGGCTCATGCCCAGTGTGTGGATGATGGGGGGAAGGCTCAGAGGTTCTGTGAAATGGAAATTGATCAGGGGCATCAGTGCAACCCTGGAGTCTCTTGTCCTCAGGAAGACCTCTTCATGGCATTAATGCCCAAAGGAGACATAGAACAAAGTGCTCAACCTGAGGCTCCAAGACCCTGTATGGGACCTCAAAGCCCATAGAGACCACCAAACACTTCTACCAAATTGTAATACAGTGTGTAATATGAACAGCAGGGAAAATTGCCAAATATATGATTGGAAAGTAATCGTATTAAATTTTTTTGACAGTAAACTCTCAATTAAATGGACCTCAGTTTGGCAGACTTTGGATTTAACAGACAAAATTTGCTGCATCCAGATTTTCTACATTATTGTTACTGTTTTAGCATTTCAATAATGATTGCTCAGAAAACATTTGTATTTTCTTGTTGTAGAAACTTGTATCGGAAGACACATGGTCTGTCACAACCAGAGAGAATTTAAATAAGGGATAGGATTCCAATGAGTGTGGCTGCAAAAATATTACCCCTTTTTTGGAATGAGAATGGGATGGATCACCTTTACATAGGAGACAGAGAAGTTTGTGTAATAACTGTGTAGTGCTAGTAGGTACCCATGCCTTGTCTGCTGTTTTGAGCAATCAGGCATATTGCACGTACACCATCTTTTTCTACACCACAGTTGTTTATAATAACTTTCTGTATCACTATAGGAATGTTATGTATATTGAGTTCAGTGTAGGAAAATTACTCAGGGTCCAGCATGGACATGTAATAGGATGGTTTATGGATTATGATATAATGTATCATAAATGTATGTCATATATTGGTGCAGTGGTTAAGGCACCAAGCTAGAACTGTGAGTCCTAGTCCCGCCTGAGGCACAAAGCCAGCTGGGTGACCTTGGGCCAGTCACTCTCTCTCAGCCCTAGGAAGGAAGCAATGGCAAACCCCTTCTGAAAAACCTTGCCAAAAAAACTGCAGGGACTGTCCAGGCAGTCGCCAGGAGTCAAAAACTGACTCAAAGACACAAAAACAAACAAACATAAAAGCAGGGAAGGTTGAAGGCTTAAGAAGATCGGATTTTTTAAAAAGTTTAAGATAGTCTTGATACTTTAGAGCTTAAGATATTTCATTTTTTTTTTCTTTTTCAATTCAAAATCACTACATTTCCTAAACCTGCAATGAACTACCTTGGGAGAAAAACACAGTGCAGTATCCACACTTTTCTTTCCTCTTTATGTTGCTATTACTGGCTTTGGGAAATAAGACACAGTGCAACTTAAATCAAGAAACAAACATGGGGTACAATGGACAAAGGGAAAAAAATAAAACTCTCTCCCACAATATCACTTTCCTGAGATCTTCAAATCAGCTATGGATTAATTAGTTTAACAAAAAGCCACTGGAGCTGTTGACGATAAATGTTCAGGGTCATGTCTGCCCTTCAAAATTTATATAACATCACCACAATGCAATCTTTTGTCTAGTTCTCCCAAGAAGAAAGTTAGAATGGACAAGCATAAAGGAACATGGGTTGGTAATATTATATTGGTGTTTCTAACAGCAACAAGGAACAAATTAATTAAAAATGAAAATGCTTCAGGTCCAAATCAGAAAAGATAATAGAGGAGATGCAAGCGCAGAAGCTTAATCTATTTAATTTTTTTGAAAAAGCAAACATAAATTAAAACTGTCTCCCCACAACCTTTTCCCATTAAAACCCCAGATTCCCCACTGGGAACTCATTACTTTTAATCAGGAGCTATAGATCAATGATGAGGACATTTTCAACAGGAACCCATCTTTATGTGCTTTTCTGCAAAAATTTAAAGACATAATAGAGACAATTAAAAATCTCTATCATTTTGTCTAATTTGACTGCTGGTTCTTGAATTATATTTTGTACAGGATGACCAGACCTGGGGTACAAAAATCTAAATTGGCAGCAATCTGTTAGAATTCTCTGTACCTTTGCTGTTACAGTATCTATTGCTTCTCTGGACTTTGCAGCTCATATCTGGTTAGCCTAGTTTTGCATAACAGACCCAACAGGGCAAAGTAATATAATAACAGTGATATAAACTATTGTGATATATTATTTAATTTTTCATGCTCCAAACTAGATCAGCTGATACCCTTCACACCCTGACCATCAGCCAACAGATAAGCTGGTCTAAACCATCTGGGTCCCTTTGCTGGAAATGAATGGGATTGTTTCTTAAGCAAAAAGGCAGGAAGGGTGACCACAATTGCTCCTTTCTGGCTTCTGCCCTTCTCCCCCACACTTTTGCTGGTAGGATTTGGAGAATACTGACAGTACAGATAGACTTGCTCTGATATTGCAACAGCCTTGAACTCTTACAAAAGAAGTAGATCTACTTGAATAAACAAATCCTCCTTGACTACAGGCAAACATGAATGGCAATGCAATTGGCCCAGATGTTCATACTGGATTATACATATTTAAAAAGTTTTAGTATTCTCAATAAGAATTTTTCAGAAATGGCTTCCTCTATAAATAATCAGAGAGTGCAAATAAGCATTTGTTCTCCACTTACCAGTTCTATATGAGTTAGCTGTTGGGCCAAAGTATATGGATCACTGCAGACACTCAACATTTCTCTTTGGATGGAGGGAGGTTTACTTTTAAAAGCTACCACTTTATCTGAGACAGCTGCACTGATCTTGACTATCCCTTCCTGGCCATGGTTAAGACTTGCAAGCTTCTGATTCAAGGTTTGTAGAAGCTGATTCATCTTTTTCCAATAGGCCTGAAGTGAGGAAAAGGAGGAAAGGGACATAAACTCACTCCAAGTAAAACATTTTTAAAGTATGTTGGGGAACAAATCTTTTGAATCAGTGTTTCTATTCAAGAGTGAAATGATCAGACGTAGATTAGAATAATTTTACTTCCAACCATCTATTCTAGAATATCCAGTCAGTTTAATTATAGCTCCACCCTAAGTTCCAGTCTATAGTTCTCTACCACAAGACTAGCATCTAGCCAGAACATGTGTGCATTTGTGCTAAATGCCAACTCAGCTGACCACATGGGTCAACTTTGCTTTTTTTCCCCCACATCCTCTGTTTCACCAATCAGATTTGTCCTTCTCATTTTTGAAACCTCTGAAATGTAGACTTTTGATTGTATGAAACACATGTAGAATATCTTATACAAGAGCGCCAGTGTAATACTTCTATTATTAAGATTGTCACGGCTGGTTTATATTCATATTTTTCACACAGAGTCCTTAGTATTCCAATTGCAAATAGTTACATCTGTAAAACATCCCATAATGTTGGAAACAGTGCCATTATGGAGCATTATATACCATATACTGCTTATGATGTTCATTCAATGTAATGTATTGACATGATCAAAACACCTATGACAGCTTTCTTAAATTATTTTTCATATCAATCATGGTAACATGATATTAAAGCTGCCCTCAGCTTTCAGGAAATTATTTTGAAACCAAAGGAGAAAGACCACAGGTGGTATGGGTTACATGTTATTTAGTGATGTGTTCAAATTAATCTAGTACAGCAGTTGATATAGCCCACTCTAAGCATTTATTTCCCAATAAAGCAAAAACTGCAATACCAAAAATTAATTAATTGGGGTTAATTATATCAATATGTGTTCTTAAGATGTGCTGAAGATCAGAATACACAATTGGGCAGTAATTCTGTTTTGAATAGACAGTTGATTACTGTGCTATTTTCTTGGAGTTAATATTTTGAAAAGATTGAATGGGGATAATAGCTATCTAGACTAAACAAACAAATGAAATATTTGTGGTTTGGAAATCATCCTCATATTGAGAGATGCACAGAATCATTTCTTCAGTAATTCCATTGTGCATTCCATCTCTTCAGTGGAACTTCCTTTATCTGTCCTTTAATTTTATTTTAATCTGTACATCTGCAATGCATTACAGAACACCTGGAAGACACAAAGGGATGCAGACAATATGACCAGCTATTTGTTTGTTTATTGAATTGTATGCTGGCCTTAAAGACATGGAGGACTACAAACCTGTCGTGGAAATTGGCATCTGAGAAAATACATTACTGACTATAGCTATAGCTTTATTCTATACATATATGTATTTATATATAGTACACACACATATATACACATACATATATACATATACTTACATATAATCTGCTAAGAAGTTTTAATAATTGCCAACAAATAAAATATGTAAAGGTTTACTGTCCAAAGCTAAACTAATTGAAATGAGGTTGATAAAGGCATTTACATTATGCTCATTAACAGTAAAATTTAGCCAAGCTGATCGAAGAATCTAAAAGGAAAGGAAAAGGAATCATATGGAGCTTCTTCATGGCCTATAAAGACCAGACTAAGTGACTTGTGGTGCTCTTAAGGGAAATATATATTTATTTAATACTGGCCTATGTACATTTACAGTCGCCTGAATTATCCATAAACTTTCAAAGGACATTTAACAAGGTTTGACAGTTTGAAGGGAAGGCACTGATAAGAAAATTCACTCCTGAAGCAGTGGCTCAGACGGCTGTGTTTTGAGCCTCCTGTTAAAGCGGACATAAGCCACTGTGGAGCAGTTGATATGGAAGCTGACAGCCAGGTCAACATAACTAGAGAGGCACATCACAGACAGAGAAAACCTCTGTGGATTATCTCATCTAGCCACATATCACTAAGAGGAAGAGAGGAAAATACTACCACAGGCATTATGCAGATATGCACTGCTGATGCTCTGGATGGCTGCAAATGGATGACTGTGGAGCACACATCACAGCTGCCAGAAACAGGCAGAGGCCAGCAGTGCTGAAGCCCTACTAGAAATGTGGTGAATCTTCCTGGCTCCCAGTTACAGATTGCTTTCAGTGAAGCTCCCAGCTGGAGCAGCAGCTAATGTGCTATTGAGCTGTGAGGGTCAGCTCAGAAACTATTTCTAGTTACTTCTCCCATCTAGGGTTCCCTTCCCCTGAGATGGCTCATGAAAAAAACCTGCCCTACTTTCCCACCCTGAATTCCATAGCTGCTATTATTAGGGCTGGTCGCACAGCCAGATGTTTAGACTGGATTTGGCATTTTTGTCCACCTATTGAGTCCTTCCCAAGGACCTGGAATAGGCAGATGTTGTTTGATGGTGTTAAAGGTATCGTCATAGGATGTAAGCTGTTCCAAGTAAAGCTGCCTTTTGCAATTGACTGATGGTGGTGGTGCTGCTGCTGCTGTTGTTATTATATTTAATTAATCTAGGTATCTTCAATGCTAAAACAGATGGCTGCTTACATCTGTATTAGGGGTTACATTAAATTGACTATTGTATTCAAGTTTTAATGTTCATTTCCATCCAAAAGTTTCACTGCCTTAAAATAACCATAAAATCAGTCATGTTAATACTTCATTGAATGGTAAGAAATGTTTTAATGATTAGCCTGTTCTCCAGTAAGATTCCTATAGCTCCTCTCTCTTTCTTGTACACTCTCTCATTCAAGTTCAATGCTATAAAAACACATTGGGAATAACACACAAAAATTACAGGTATTCAAATGGATTCACAAATTACCCTAGCCCAGGACTTGCTGAAAAAGCCAAGTTTTGAACACTTTCCTGAAGGTCAGGCAGAATGGGGCCAAACAGACTTTAGGAGGGGCAGGAGCAGTGACAGAATCAAGTCTGAAACAGCCCCTAAGTCCCCACTGGGTGGAAACTGCTCTGTCATGGAGACCAATTTCTACAAAAAGCACATATACAGAAGAGAAAAACCTTGTTCAGCAATAAAAACCAAAGACAGCTTGTTCCCTAATGTATACAGTACATTTTGACCTTCACCTTCAACTCTAAGTGTCAAATGTTGAAGGGTATGTATGTTCTATCTGCACGTTCTTGAACATGATCAGTCTGATCACATGTAGCACAAGGGGATAAACTTTGGATGACTGGAAACTACTTTAACGACCCCAGGGGACACAGTTTTCCCCCCCTATTTTTTTTTTTGAAGTGGAGGATAAAGCATATTTTTAAAAACAATGTTTTTTTAAAAACCCTTCCGCTTCTGTTTTCTTCCTCAAAATGGGAAACAAGTACACGTCCAAAATCGTATTGCAGTCCCGCGGGGGGGAAGGGGGGGAAATCTGGGGGATGCAAAAAATGGGTTTTGGGATCGATATGGTTCTGGAGCTCAAGTTACCCACCCGATATAGAAAGTTCATGTAAGGGGATAGGGAAGGCATATATATATCCTGGTGTTTACATACCTATACATATCCTATGCAGAGCTTCTCAAACAGGCAAAAACAAACTTGAAAGAGGCACACATATGTTTTAATGTAAAGAAAGCTCACAAGATGTATTGGCCAAAGTTGTGTGAGCAATATTGTACAGTGGCTAAGTAGGGCTGGTTCCCTGCTTAACAAATTTCAGAGTGAGCGTTTTTTTTTTCCTCTACTAACAATGTCCTTTTTCTTGTAATACCCCTTTGGTTAATTTTAATTTGTAATTTTAAAAAAAAAAAGTTAATGTCAGGTATTAGTGTAACAGTATCATATTAAATCCAACTTCGTTTTTTATTTTTAACATCCAGATCAGAAATCCTGAAGTTCTAGATGTAGAATCATATTAATTAATATTAATTTAATGTTATTAAATTGAAAAGCAGAAATTCCATGCTGCTTGGGGGAAAAAAAGTGGCAGGGTGAGCGGAATGATAAGACAGAAGTATTCATCACAGCAGAAAAACATGGATGCTGTTTTTTCTTTTCTGTACTTTAATACTTAAGCCAAAGCATATCATTCTTAAGTAGCAATGCATTTAAAGATGGCAAGCCCCAGCAGGTGGCTTAGGAATTCAGATTTTAATTAAGTCTTTTCTTTCAAAATGCAAATCACAACTCTTGGCAAAAAAAGAGATCCTTTTTAGTATGCTACATACCTTTCTAAGCACTGCAAGGAGCCTCAAGAAATGGATAGGACAAGGAACGGAAAAAAAATATTGCTGCAAGGTATCATTGCAAAATTCTATCAGCAAGAGAGATAATGAATTCAATGACCCTAGGATTTTCTGCACATCTGATTCTGGACTGCACTTTTTTGTTCAAACAAGCATCGGCCTGCCAAAATCAATTAACTACTGATTTTGATCAAGGAAAGTGACACATTCATAACCCACAAACATATCTGCTATTCCAACTGAAAAGGAGAAGGGAAAGAGCCTGATTGACTTCTGTCTGGTATTCTTTGGCTATCCAGCATGCATCAGAATTATGTCTCATGTTACTCAGCCTTTTCTAAAGTCAGCTAGAACATCTGGCATCTCCCTTTCCAGGTACTGCCCTCATCTACATCAGATGATCCTAAGCATTACTTTGCTAGCATGTGAAATTAAGCATACCGTATGATGGTTTGCACACTCCATTAGGCCTTCTTTTGTGGTACTGACAGGTGGACCAACCTCTTCCAATCTGTTGGCCACTGTATTGTTCTTTGGATTTGCTAGCATGGTTTGATTAGAACCTTTACAAATTCTTCTGCTGTTGGTGGCCATTTTTCTGTACATATTTCATGGAGCCTTCCAACTTGGTAATGACCAGAGTGCTGATCTAACTTCATCTTTTAGTAGTAAGCATTCTTGGAAATAGGGAACACTTACTAAGTTATCTTGGATGTTGACATATTTACTGTAAAGTACTTCAGTAAACCACTTCCATCTTTTTTATCTTCTTTGAATCAGTTACTATCAATTGGTATCTTCAAAATCCAGTTTGAGACTGG